TGTTAAACAAAAGACTGAAAATAAACATGCAGAATTTCATGAAAACACATTTTGTATATATGCCTTGTTTCAAGAAGTGAATTTTATGACTTTCACAAATATAAAACATTTTCACCAAATTACAGTATCTTAAATAGTAGGTTTGATTAGATTATTTCTTTCAGAAAATAGCATCCCTATGTGTAGCAATTGCAACTGTGGTCCCACTGGTAAGTTATACAAACCTTCCTAAAGATCAGTAAACTTGTTAATGTTTTAATCAGGACCACTTCCTCTTCTGTCCTAGACTATATTTTAATAATCAAGATAAAGTGACCACCATAAACTTAATCTTCTTTTAATATTAATTCCATGAATACAAAGATCAATTTTATGCCTAACATACTTGGCACAGACATAAAAAAAAGTTTGGTCAAAAACACCAAGCCCCAACAATTAGATCCCTTCCTTGGGGGGAAAAAGTCTAAACTACCCAGAATTCTTGAGTATTTCCCTTCTGTCCTTGCACTGATCACAATTACCTCACTTTCCACATATTATATAATCTAGTATTACTTCAAAGGAACATTCCAAGGTAGAAACATTTTTATTCACCATGACATGAAACATTTTTAACTTTAAACCCTATTTACTATGTAACTGTCACACAACTAATTGATTCTCTCAAATAACCATATTTTCCTTTCTCCTCCATACTCTAATCTTAAGAAGTGAATCACAAAACAAAACAAAAAACTGCTAAGGGACTTATTCAAAACCAATTTCCAGAGTATGTAACTTGGGGACAACAAATATTTAACCTAACTTTCTATAACTATACAACTATGCAATAATGTAGAATGTTCAAAATGATGAATGCAAGGCACTGTAAGACCCTCAAAAGAATTTTCATTCTTTAGAGGAGAATGTACCAATAATACTTTTAGAATAGTTTTCAAGAGATAAAACAAAAGAGTAATTCTCCTTAATAAAAGTAAGCCATTCTGCAAACATTATGGTTAAAGTTTAACTTATAATTTTATTCTAATACAATGCTGGCCAACTAAATCAAATGATTTCCTATATAAGAATTATGATACAATTTGATGGCCATGCCATCAACTTCAGTATCATAACTAACATATGGTTACTCTGATCCTGACACATAGGATTTGGGCTAGGGCTATGGGTCCCATTTATCCTTGCTTCCTTTATTTCCAGATTCCCCATCTTTGCTTACTTCCCTTGACGGTTCCTTTCTCTTTCTGCCTCCCTTCTCAGACGACATTATTATGATTGTTGGTCTGAGAAACATGTATGGATGTTGGGTATTGTTGGCCAATGGGAATAAAGGTTACCTGAAGTAAATACAGAAATAGAACCATAGGCAATGTTAAATATCAAGGTATATGGCCATTAAGAAGCAATTTCTTCTATGCAAAGATCTATTCATTTGTAGATCTCCAGGAAAGAATAGTCACGAACCATAAATAACTGGGGTTTTTTTTTGAAGAGCAATGTTTTGAGATACAGTTTTAGTTTTATTAAAAATTGCTTGCTCCATGTATTCCAGTCCGAACGACCACAAAAGCAAAATTGGAATATAAAACTAATCCTTGAACAATGCTTTCTTTGCATTACTTTTCTCTTTGCTTTTGCACTTGACAAATGCAAAGAACACAGAAAACCTCTAATTTTTCAAAGAGATATGGTATAGTGTTTTAATGCTTCAATTGCAACCTGTAGCTCTCCACATCTTCTAATTTCTGAAAGACTATTGGGAATACAGATTTAAAACTGAAAGTGATATTTAAAATCATCTCGTCCACTTAATTTTACATAGGAGGAAACTGAGGCCCAGAAAGGTTAAATAACTTGCCCAAGGTCACAAAAACAGTAGCGAGATAGAGCTGGCATATGAACTCACTTCCTCTGATTCCAAATTCAGCCCACTTTCCACAGTAACATGTTACTTCCCTCTATAAAAGACTCAAAAAGATAAAGTAGACATATGGCTTCTTTGATGAGTGTCAAAAATTTCACCTGAGGCATGTAACTGCACTACAGCTATTTAGATAAAGTATAAAACCAGATAGTCAACTCTTAATTATTTATGTTAACAAATAAAATCTAGTAGCTCAGATAATCTAATATTATTAATACTTAGTTTTGAACTACATTATACATATTTCTCTATATTACACATTTATACTTAAATATTTTTGCAGTTACATCAGTAAAGCATAGAATGGTACTAAAACTACTTCGCATATCTTGATAAATACTGAGTGTACAGAAGGGGATGGCAATTTGGAGCTTTTAGGACTATAATTTTTAAAAATCTACAACAGACACAATTGATAGTTGACAAAACAAATAAAAAGAGTGTAGAAGAGGATTAGTTGACTTCTGTGAGTTGGCATCATATTTTTATTAACTATAAGTGTGATGGCCCTAGCAGACATCTGGAAGCTAGGAACACAATATTTAGGACATTTCTGTTTTTGCCAAATAACACCATTCTCCATGTTACAGAGATCCTGGATACTGCACAACCACAGAATAAGCAACTCTTTCCAGGAGTAGGTTGTACCACACCACCCACTTTCTGTTACAAACAACCAAAAGTGAAGAGAAACAAACAAACCATGGGCTAAGGTTACACAGGTGGAGCCTATAGCAGGAGTGCCAATGTTCTTTAAATATTATACCTTTTATTCTCAAATACAATTTAGGCATTTTAAATAAAGTTCGTTCATCATTCAAGAGCTTAATGAATATATACCTATCATCCTTACTTCTAATTCTTCTAAAATAAAAACGTAATTATCTTTTAAGCTAATTAGTTAAAAGTTATAAAGCTAAACTAATAGACCAGAGGCTAATAAAGCAGTTTATGAATTACACATGCCATCATATCTTCCTTTGTTCATTTTATCAATTTTTAGTATGTTCAAGGTCAAAGTCATGGGTTAACAATCCTTATGTAAGTGCTCTTCAACTGATGAATGGGTTGTATTCCTAAAGCTGCCTTTAAGCTAGTTGGTTTGGAAGGAGCATTTTCCCTTACAAACAATATTATAAATGTTAGTTAAAAGGAAGAACATTTTCTAGACATTCAACTCACATGAGGCAAAACTAAAGTTCATATCTAGCATCCTTTCACATTCTTGTGCTTGTAGTTTTTGAGGCCTTTAGTCCTTTATTTTGGTATCCCACTCAAGTCTGCTTTACTGTCCAAAGTGACTCACCTCTTCTCTTTCCCCAATCAAAATCCCTATTCTTCAGTGCAATTGCTTTTATCTGAGTGTTTCAAGGAAAGCAATCTGAACTAATTTAACAGATGACTAGATGTAACATCTAATCTTTTCAGAGGTATTTGTGTATTTAAGACATATGTTTGCTGACTACAAAGATACTTTAACTGGTAGGATTACAAAAAGGATGAGTGAAACTAAAGTTCAAACATTAAAGAGAACATATTTTGAAACAACAGTTATAACCATGAACAGGTGAGCTGTGCCACCATGGTCAACCTAAAACGATCTTGTTTTTTCATAGCCATTTCTCTCTCTACACTTCTAAACCCACCAGTTTCTTTAAATTCTCCATTAAAAACAAAAATAAAAAAGCAAACAAAAAAAAACAACCCCCCCCCCCAAAACTGGTCTCATCCAGCAGAGTTGCAGTACTATGGAAAGGTGGAACAGCTATTGATACATATGAGTCATTTCTATACACTGAGTTTTAGGATCCTAGCTAGTTGTCTTACAAAGGTACAAAGGGTAATAAATGAGAGGTCACTCAGTTTGATAATACTGAAAAAAACAAAGAACTCACAACACTTTCAGCAGACATTAGTAGCATCATTTTGGTAATATGAAGTGCAGCATACAATTACATAAGGATTACCACCTCCCTTATGATGAAAAAGATGGGTAAGAAAGGAGGTAAAACTTTAATCCACCAATCTTGTTACTTGTTAGTAGCTTTATTCAGAAGTTTGTTGGGGAGTGTACTGGGAGTGCAAATACAGTTGCTCAATTATTTGTGTATTTCAATGATCTGTGTTATTTTTTATGCCCATTGCTATAAATCCAAGAATGGACTTAAACCCATTAAAAAAAAGGACATCTTTTTGCTGTCCTATTTTTAAAAACTGAGTAAGAGTTTAGTAGAATACAGGAGAAGCCCCACAAAGTAAACTGAGTATGTAGTAAAAAAGAACAAACTCTGATATTTTCATAGGGCTTCTATAAACAGAATATAATCTTCTTTTGTCTCACTCAGATTATAAAAATGTCTCCTGAAAGGATTTTTAAAACAACTTTAAAAGTATATCTTGTTTGTTATATAAGCACATTTATATACATAGAATTAAATATATCTGGGGAGAATCAAGGCTGAACATAGGATTACAATTACAGTATAATTTCTAATTACATCATTTTCTCTTTTACTATACTATATAATGTTGCTGTGCTGAAACAACATGATTACACGATCAGTATGATACAATGAAGGAAAAGCTGGACCTGAAGTCAGGAAGCCTAGGTTCAAGTCTGGGTATTCACATATGCTGGCTATATGACCAAGTCAATCCATCTCTAATGGCCCAAGCAACTCTTTAATAGCCTAAGTTACAGCTGAGTTGCCAATATGAATCTCTGCAAGGAGTTTCCACACCATGGGGCTCCCCTAAACTGACTAAATCACAGGTAAGTGCTCAAACCTCTAAAAATATGTATTTTATATATATACACACACACACAAATATAAATATAAGTATCACACAAATATACATTACACATTTACATACAGGTATATATGTCATGTGCATGTATATAAATATAGATAAAAGACTTAGGTCTTCATTAAATCAATTTCACATGCACCATGTGTTGTACCATTACTGAAATCACTACTGAAATTATGGTACATTTTATATTCTCCCTGGAAGAAATAAAAAGAAGCACTTTTATACTGCTTTTCTTTTCCAGTAAGTTATATGTATTACTTACCTGGGGGGGGAATCAGAGGTGGAGCAGTGCTGACAGTTGGAGGAGGAGGAAGAAATGGAGGTGGTGGGAGATGAGTAGGAGGAGCTCCTGGAGGGAAAAATGGAGGTGGTTTGCTAAAATTGTTGTCTACTTCAGCAGCAGATCGTTCCGAAAGAACCTACAGGAATTAAGAATATTTGTATATATCTATGTAATTTTCATTTTCTAAAGATTAACTGTAATTAAAGTTTTATTTATTCTAGAAAGCAATGGAAAAAGACAACTGAATATCAATTGAGTTAAGGGACGGTTTTGGAACAAAGCTTAAAATATTCAGGTTAAAATTTCTTTTTTAATCATTAATTCTTTCTATATTAGAATGCATACACACACACAACCTTCGTTATCAGGTTCTATTCTGCTTAAAAAAAGTTAAGTCAGCAGGTGTTATTTATAAGAAACTATAAACTTAAAAGGGGAAAGTCCATTTAATATGTTGGTACCACATAAATACTAATGGTGTTAGGCACCAACTGTACACTCACAACGCAGTTATTAAACAGAATTGTTTCAGGAAAAGTACAGGCAATAACTGGGAGATGGGAGATCATTCTGCATTTCTGACAATATTCAATATCCCAGTAAAAGTAAGTTGTCCAGTAGAATGCAAACTCCTAGAAGGCATGAACTGTTTTCTCTTTGAAGGTGCAACATAGTGCCTGGCGTCGAGTAGGAACGTAGTTAAGTCTTTACTGAAGAGTAACAGGAGAAAGGAATAATCATTTCTCTAGCAGTGACTAAGTACCAGGCACTGTGTGAAGAGCTTTAGAAATACTTTATCATTTGATCCTCATCACAACCCTGCAAAGTATATGTTTTTACTACCTTCATTTTACTCCATCAGTTAAGGAAGCTGAAGACTGAGGTTAAGTGACTTGCCTATGATTACACAGCTACTAAGTGTCTGAGGCTAAATCTGAACGCAGGTTTTCCTGACACCAGGCCCAGCACTCTCTCCATTGCCCGACTAGCTCCCTCCATGGCAGAGTCACTAAGATCAATCAGTAGAAGTTACAGGGTCACTCACTCCCAGTTGTATTCCCAGTAACACACATTTAACTATGGACTAATCAATTTATATTAATGTTTTTAAAATTTTAAAAATAGGGACAAGTCTCACTTGCCTCAGATATGCAGTAAGGACTAAGTAGTATGTGCATTCAGACATCATCTAGACTAGTATCATCAAACTTGCTGAGCAATCCATATAAATCCTAGTGTATGGAACCAGACTGAAATGTAATTGGGAAATGCTTAAACAAAATAAATAAAAATAAGACACAAAATAGATAGTGTTAATTTACTGTTTTCTAAGTCAATATGGGGCCATTTCTATTTGTTTGCCACTAATAATTAGACCAACTTTCTCATTTTACAGATGAAGAAACTGAGGCCCTGAGGTATGAAATGAATTTTGTCTAAAGTCGTAAAGACAAAACCAGAATCAAGAATGAGACTTCTGACTCCAAATGAATGTGCAAATCAGTAAAAACGCACATATTAAGCACTTGGACACACTATGCTAAGCACTCGGGATAAAAATACAAATTCCTGTCCTCAAGCAACTTATGTTCTACATTACAGATCTAATGTCCTTCCCACAGTGCAACACTTATTTAAAAAATTACAGAGCCAGGCATGGCTGTTAGAAGATTTAACAATCTTTTCAAACATTCTCATTTTTATGTAATTTCTTTATTTCCTTTTCTTTTGTGTGTATGTGGGGATGGGGGGAAAGAAGGAGGCAACTGGGGTTAAGTGACTTGCCCAGAGTCACATATAATAGCCCAAGTACCACTTAATGGTTATTTTTTTGGGCCTGGGTAGCTCAGAGTGAATGTATACAGTAACTACTTCTCTTTTGGCCAGAAAGAACCCTGAGGGTCTCCCCCTCCCAGTTTTGTTTTTTTTTTAATTGAAGGGACTACCCATGGCTCACTTTTTTAAAAATTTCTTTTATTTTTTTTTGTTTATTTAGTATTTTATTTTTCTCCAGTTATATGTAAAAACAATTTATAACAGTCCTTTTTAAAACTTTTGCGTTCCAAATTCTATTCCCTGCCCTTTCCCCTGCCCCCAGCATGTAGGTTATACATGTTTAGTCATGTAAAACATTTCCGTAACAGTCATATTGTGAAAGAAAACAAACAAAAAAACCCTGAAGGAAAATAAATTAAAAAAAGCATGCTTCGATCTATATTCAGAGACCATCAATTTTTCCTCTGGGGATGGCATTTTTCATCATAAGTCTTTCAGAGCTGTCCTGGATCATTCTGAGACCAGCTAAGTCATTCACAGCTGATCATCTTACAATATTGCTATACCTTTGTATGTAGTACACTCACTCTGCACCAGTCTTAGCTCACTTTTTTTAAAATTAATTTTAGTTTTCAACATTCACTTACACAAGATTTTGAGTTCCAAATTTTCTCCCCATCTTGCCCCTCCCCCTAGCCCAAGACAGCATGCATTCTGAATACCCCTTCCCCTAATCAGCCCTCCCTTCCCTTACCAACTGTTCTTATCCCCTTCCCCTTCCATTTTCCTGTAGGGCAGGACAGATTTCTATACCCCATTGCCTGTATATCTTATTTCCCAGTTGCATGTGAAAACAATTTTTAACATTTGTTTTTAAAACTTTGGGTTCCAAATTTTCTCCCTTCCTCCCTCCCCACCCATCCTCATTGAGAAGGCAAGCAACTCTATACAGGTTATACATGTATAGTCATGTAAAACACTTCCATCGTAGTCATGCTGTGAAAAACTAACCATATTTCCCTTCATCCTATCCTGTCCCCCGTTTATTCTATTCTCTCTTCTTACCCTGTCCCTCCTCAGAACTGTTTGCTTCTGAATACCCTCTCCCCCAATATGCCCTACTCTCTACCATCCCCCTCACCTTATCCTCTTACCCCCTATTTTCCTGTAGGGTAAGATAGATTTCCACACTCAACTGAGTGTGTATGTTATCCCCTCCTTAAGCCAAATCCAATGAAAGTAAGACTTATTCATTCCCTCTCACCTCCCCACCTCTTCCACTCCACTGTAAAAGCTTTTTCTTTCCTCTTTTATGTGAGATAATTTACCCCATTCTACCTCTACCTTTCTCCTTCCCCTAGTATAATCCTCTCTCACCCCTTAATTTTATTTTTTAGATATCATCCCTTCATATTCAACTCACCCTGTGCCCTCTGTATATATATATCAATCACTCCTTCATCTTCAACTCACCCTGTGCCCTCTATTTATCTATCTCTATATACATATAATTTTTTTCCTCTCCAACTACCCTAATGCTGACAAAGGTCTCATGTTCATGAGTTACAAGTATCATCTTTCCAGGTAGGAATCTAAACAGTTCAACCTTAATAAGTCCCTTATGATTTCTCTTTCCTGTTTACCTTTTCATGCTTCTCTTGAGTCTTGAATTCGAAAGTTGAATTTTCTATTCAGCTCTGGTCTTTTCATCAAGAATGCTTCAAAGTCCTCTATTTCACTGATTTTTTTTCCCCCTAGAGGATTATAATCAGTTTTGCTGGGTAGGTGATTCTTGGTTGTAATCCTATCTCCTTTGCCCTCCGGAATATTATATTCTAAGCCCTCCAGTCCCTTAATGTAGAAGGTGCTAAATCTTGTGTTATCCTGATTGTGTTTTCACAATACTTGAATTGTTTCTTTCTGGCTGCTTGAAATATTTTCTCCTTGACCTGGGAACTCTGGAATTTGCCTAAAATATTCCTAGGAGTTTTCCTTTGGGAATCTCTTTCAGGAGGTGATCAATGGATTCTTTCAATTTCTATTTAACCCTCTGGTTCAAGGCAGTTCTTCTTGATAATTTCTTGAAAGATGATGTCTAGGCTCTTTTTTTGATCCTGGCTTTCAGGTAGTCCAATAATTTTAAAATTATCTCTCCTGGATCTATTTTCCAGGTCGGTTGTTTTTCCATTAAGATTGTTTACTTTGTCTTCTATTTTTTCATTCTTTTAGTTTTGTTTTACAATGTCTTGATTTCTCATAAAGTCACTAGCTTCCATTTGCTCCATTCTAATTTTTAAGGAAGTATTTTCTTCAGTGAGCTTTTGGTCTTCCTTTTCCATTTGGCCAATTCTGCTTTTTAAGGCATTCTCCTCATTGGCTTTTTGGATCTCTTTTGCCATTTGAGTTATGCTATTTTTTAAGGTGTTATTTTCTTCAGCATTTTTTGGGGTCTCCTTCAGTAAGTTGTTGACTTGTTTTTCATGATTTTCTTGCATAACTCTCATTTCTCTTCCCAGTTTTTCCTCTACTTCTCTTACTTGCTTCTCAAAATCCTTTTTGAGCTCTTCCATGGCCTGGGACTGATTCATATTTTTCTTGGAGGCTTTGGATGCAGGAGCTTTGACTTTGTTTTCTTCTTCTGGTTGTATGTTTTGATCTTCTCGGTCACCAAAGAAAGATTCTGTGGTTTGACTTTTTTTTTTTTTGCACAGTATGCTCATGTTCCCAGCCAATTGAGTTTTAAACTCTTTGTTAAGATAGGGCTCTGTTTCCAGTGTGGAGGGTGTACTGTTCCAAGTTTCATAGGGTTTGTGCAGCTATTTTCAGAGATACTTCTAGGGGCCTATAAATTTTCCTTTCTTCCAAGATGGTATGGTCAAAGGTGAGGTGTTTACTCCTTTCCTGGCCTGTGCTCTGGTCTATGAGTGACCATAAGCACTCTTTTCTGCCTTGGAATTGTGAGGAGGATTCCCCATCTACCACCACAAGCTCTGCCATGCCAGGGCTCCTCCTCACTCCAGGACCACCACCCATAACTGTGACTCAGATGCAAGCACCGGCAAATAAAGAGAATCCTGCCTCAGCACCAGCAAAGAGATCCCTGCAATCCCCCTCCGATCAGCCACTTGATTCCCTCTCTGTCTGTGGGCTGTGAACAACAGAAGCAATTGCCACCCTGGAGCCGCACTGGGACTGGGGCTGGGACCAAGCTTCTCTCTCACCGAGGTCACAGACCTTTCCTACTGACCTTCTAAGCTGTCTTTGGTGTTTGGGTGTTGTGGTTGTGTAGTTGTGGGTTAGCTTAAAAAAGCTGTCTCCCAATGCATCCTGGGCCATGTGTAGTTATCCTGATCTATATCTGGACACTGGACCCAGGTGACTCTGGAGGAAAAGGTGAGGTTGGTGACTTTTCACAGCCCCCCCCTCACTTAAATCCAATTCGCCTGCACGTCACTGTATCACCTCCCTGATGTCATGGTCATCTTCAAGAATAAAGGACAAACCACAATAACTGAAGCCGTACTTGAACTCAGGTCTCCCTGACTCCAGGGTCAGTGCTCTACCCATTGTAACTATCTGATTTCTTTTTAAAAGTTCAGATATGCATATGTACTGCAAATTAACACCAAATGATATCACCATCTATGTAGCTGAAAAGATTACTATACAATCAACACTCCTTTATACAAGGAAACTATTCTACCAAAGCAGATCATTACTTTTGAATTTCTACCAGTATTCTTAATCTTTTCAAAGTACTTTGCTGTATTTTCATGATCAGGGCAGATAGGTGATGCAGTAGATAAAGAGCTGGATCTGGAATCAAATAAGTTCAAATACCACCTCAGGCACTTAGCAGCAGTATGACCTTGGGCAAGTCATTTAACCCTTATGGCTCAGTGTCCTCATCTATAAAATGGGGTAATACTAGCACCTACCTCCTAGAGTTGTTGTAAGAATAAAATGAGATATTTGTAAAGCTCTTTGTAAATCTTAGAGCTATATGTAAATGTTTAATACACACATGTACACACATGCAAACATCTGTGTGTACTCTATGTTATTAAAGAACCATAATTTATTCGTGGGTGTTAGAATACTGTTGGACTCTTTAGAGCAGTTAAATCTGCTTAGAACTACCAGGGTCTTGGTTAAAGAAAACAAACAAACAAACAAAAACCTTGCAGATACTTTTAAAAAATTCCAACAATTGATAATCAAAAGTCAAGAGGTACCAAGATAAGGTCAAAATGGATATATGACCCCCTCAGGGTTGGGGAACCTGCAGCGCAGGCCAAATGTGGCTCTCTAGGTTCTCATGAATTCAGTCAAAGGGATGCACTTTGGGACCTAGAGAGCCACATGTGGCCTCAAGGCTGCAGGTTCCCCACTCCTGAAAAAGGAAACATAAGAAAATTAGAAGAATATGTAACATATTCCCTATCACACTTATGGATGAGAGAAAAATTTATGAGTAAACAAGAGATAAAGAGCATTATGAGGTATAAAATGGATAATTTGATTACATTAAATTAAAAATGTTCTGTACAAATAAAACCAATATAGCCAGGACTGGAAGGAAAGCAGAAAATTGGCGGAAAAAATTTTATAGACAGTTTCTCAGATAAAGGTCTCATATCTCACTCAACCATATAGAGAAATCTGTCAAATTTATAAGAATATGAGTCATTCCCCAATTGATAAATGGTCAAAGGATATGAACAGACAGTTTTTGGATGAAGAAATCAAAAGTTATATATAGTTATATAAAAAATGCTCTAAATCATTATTGATTGGAGAAATGTGAATAAAAATAGTTCTGAGATATCATCTCATTACCTATCAGACTGGCTAAAATGAGAGAAGTAGAAAATGACAAATGCTGGAGAGAATGTGTAAAAATTGAGACAGTAATACACTGTTGGTAGAACTGTGAACTGATCCAACCATTTTGGAGAGGAATCTGGAATCATGCCCAAAGAGCTATAAAACATTGCTACATCCTTTATACTTTTTACTTTTTATTAAGGTATATAAGATGGTATCCACCTCCAGAGAAAGAACTGATAAATAGAAGTATGTGTAGTATGGTGTGTGTACACACACACACACACACACACACACACACACACACACACACACACCCCCACCCACAGCCCCACTTGTGTCTAATGGTGGCCTTCTTTAAGGCAGGGTGGGGAGGGAGGGGAAAAAAAATAAAAAGTGCACAGCAAAGAACAAAAGAAAACTCAGAAGGAAGCACAGAAAAACAGGGTAGTTTTGAAAATAATAGGTAGTATTTATTACACACTTAAAAAAAATAAATAGTGTGAAATGGAGATTCATGGTTACATATTGAATCCTTTTTGTGTTGTGCTGTGTACATGGAAATGGTTTGGGTTTTTTGGTGCTTGGTTTTTATTTAAGTTCAAAATGAATAAAAAAAATTTGTTTTGCTTTGTTTTTGCTTTTTGGTGAAGCAATTGGGGTTAAGTGACTTGCCCAGGGTCACACAGCTAGTAAGCGTAAGGTGTCTGAGGCTAGATTTGAACTCAGGTCTTCCTGATTCTAAGGCCAGAGCTCTATCCACTGCCCCACCTAGCTGCCCTGAATAAAAAAAATTTTAAAATATTAAAAAAAAAGTCAAGAGGTTTGCATCATTTTAATGACTGGGGCCATATCTTATCTCTGTATTTCTTCTAATACCTAACACAATCCCTTGAGCCTAACAGATGTAAAATTCATCTTTTGCAAAATGAGAAATAATCTGTTGATTAGGAAAAGAAGTATTAAATTTGAAAATACTCAACCTGTATGTTGCTATTTTCATTTGCACGCCGTCTTCCTTCCACTCGGCTGATGGTGATAGTCTGACCAATTACATCTATTGTGCCAGATAATCTCCTGTAACATAAATCATATTAATTCAGTATCACACCTTGAGACTTTTCTAAAAACTGTATTTAAAATAAAATTGAAAAACAAGCATATTTAGACCCTGCTTATCACTCCAGAATAAGATCATATTATAATACTGGTCCAAATATAGGCCACCTCCTTAAAAGGCCAACTTTTGAGATGTAAAAGGTACATTACGTAAAATAACACAGATTAAATGCCTCACTTGTGTTTTAAATAAGCCGGTCTATGGAATAAATACGGCCTATATTCAGACTAATATGATACTTAACATGAGAAAATATTTATTTACTGAATAAGTGAGATTTGTTAATTGCTTGTTTTACGATATTGTTAAGTTTCTTAATAAAACAAGCTAGATGAGCAGTGTTATCTTCACTTTGAAAAGTTGATCACAACATTAAAATAATGTTATAAGAATACTACAAAAGCCAGGAAATTCAGTTAAAACTGTTCAACTAATTCATAACTGAATCTGCTAAACTAAGTAGATAATTAGAATAACAAGGATAACTAGTATCATGGGGACATTATATATTGCAGCACTTATATTTCTAATATAGACTTTTAAAATATTTAGAATATTTTAATAAGAAAAATATTTTAATATAACATTTTTTCCTGAGTCCATTATGAAAGCATAAAAATAAATAACATGAGAAAGCCAGTTTTTACTCTTGAAAACTACAGGTTTTAGAGAATAAAACCAGAAGGTTTAATGACAATTTTATCTCTGAATACTTAAGTTTCTTCAGGTCTACAGAAAGTTATAAGGCCATGTGGTAACAATACAATAGCAAAATAAAAATTCAAATATATTATATGAAAAGTAAAAAAAAAAAAAGGAAAATATTTACAGTAAAAAAAAAACAGTAAAGCTGATATTTGCTGAGGGTTTATAACATACTAGGTTTGTTCAGTTGTGTCATTCATGTACAACTCCAATTGGGGTTTTCTTGGCAAAGATACTGAAGTAGTTTGCCATTTCCTTCTCCAGCTCATTTTACAGATGAAGAAACTGAGGCAAACAGGGTTAAGTGACTTGCCCAGGGTCACACAACTAGTGTCTGAGGCTAGATTTGAACAGGAAAATGAGACTGACTTGCTGACTCCAGATCTGGCACTCTATCCACTGTGCCACTTAGCTGTCAATATATTAGGTACTTCATGTAAATTTCTTTGAAAGAAAAAGTGTTTGCATTTGAATTCGTGAAAAAAGCATATCATATCTACATTAGAATTGTGGAACCTATAGACTTTCAAGTTAAAGATAAAACATACATAAAGGTACACTACATTAAACTGAGAAAGAAAATTAAAATGACTATTAATGGAGAAACAGAAGATTCCCTTGTACTCTGCTGAATTGCATACCTAGTACATTCAAATGTAAAAACTCTTTTAAAAATGTGTATAAAACTGTCAAGAGTTATAATAAATAACACATCTATATGAGAATATAATAATATATAAACTAGGTAAAACAAAAAATTATAATAAATATTGCATAACCCCCATTCCCATCCCCTAGTATTTATTTCTGTTGTATCACTACTGATTGATTCACAGAAGTGGAATCCTTACATAGTGAAACCAGAAATAGCAGACAGAAGAGATAAGAAGCAGCCTAACAAGATACTAAAATTTCAATTATCCCAAGCTCTATTGAACACCCACCCACATACCTTTAGCATTCCAAATCCTTTGCTCTTCACATATCCCAAGGCCTCTGGCTATTTTCACTATCCAAAATCACTCAACAACAGCACCCCATTCAAGCTTGCCGTTTTGAGCAATGCTCCATGTGGCAATATCAAAATCTCTCTCCCTTCTCCCCCTTCAAAACAAATGATCCCTGAGTAGAAATTAATATGAGTAAAGTAACCGCCTCTAAGGCATGAAGGACTAAAAAACCTTAATATTCCTAGTTGGCTAAAACACTAATACATCAAAATAAATTCCTAATTGGTTGAATATTGCTTGTAAAATAAAATCTTGGGCAGGAAAGGTAGTTGTAAGAAGGATAAAGGTACAGAGAAAGTTTGCCTACTCAAGACCATTCCTGCATTAGGGGCTCCCATTCTAATTCAGAAAAGTTGAAAATCCTTGTATTATAGCAAGAGGCCAATGTATAATCTAATAATGGTCTATGCTTACAAGGAAAGCAAAAAATTATACTCTATCACAAAAATGTCTCCAAATATGTATTGAAATTAGGTTTAGAAATCACAAAAATGTCTCCAAATATGTATTGAAATAAGGTTTAAAAATATATTTTATACAGTCACACAAGGAGCAGAGAAATTTGAAACTGAAACAAAGATAAATTTAGAGTATTTGGGAATTTGGGATTTCTGTATATAATGCAGTTAGCCTGTGTGTGTAAAATATATAACAAGAAACAATTAACTAACTAGTTAACTTTTAGAGATTTCAAAATTAAAGTATCAAGAACTTTCATTTAAAGCCTCAAATCTTTAACTCCAAACTGAACTGACTTTTAATCCAGGCACCCTTTATAAGGTAGGATCTCTTTTAGAAAGAGTTTTAGTTACCATTTCTGTTGACTATAAATCAGTACCATCAAATGTTTCTATTTTAAGGTTATTATATGGGAGACAAAAAAATAGTATTTATTAATCAGCCAACAAGTAAAGTGAAGTATAAAACCCCAAAGTCATATCCTTTAAAGGTCAAGTGATTAAAGCAACAGATTATGTGTGATTTGACATGATGACGAAGTATTCATTTCTATCTCCAATTTTCTCTAGTTATGTTGTTCTGATAAGTGCTAATTCTTCTATAACTTTCTATCTACACAATAGGGGGAATAATTTTTCTATAATATACAGATAAATTTAGAACCATACTGATGACTTTTGTGTCTTAGATCAAGCTCAATTACTCAAAAACAGGGCCAGAAACAAATGCATGTAAACTGAAATGTTAGTTTTTAAAATGCTGCCATCAGATAATATGATCTAGAACCAAAGATTTTCTAAAGCATGCCATTTGAACACAGTCTCAAAGAATGTAACAAAGAACAATTTAAATAAAGAGGGAAGACAGGAAATTTGTATCTGTCTTTTCTAATCTCACATTTTGGCATAATGGATCTCAAATTATTTAAGTGTCTCCAAACACTGGTGACCAAATAATGATTTTTAAAACATATCATCAAATACCACCATCCGAAAACACCAAATAAGCACAATACCGTAGTATTTAATTAAGCCTGTCACATTACTTTCTAAAATCTCCAACTTTCCCAACCACAAAACACACAAAAAATTTTATAATAAAATTGGTACTAAATACATTATTTTCTCCCCAAAATAACTTCATATTAGGTGTGAATACCTTTTCTGTGTTTAAAGGAAGATGTTATTTTGGAAAATATATGGTAATTACAACTGTCAATACACTATTTAAACACTCTAGCAAAATAAAAGTTATAATAAAATAAAAAAATCTAGTACTCAAAAGTGGACTTGGAAGATATGAGACCAAGGGGGCGGAGCCAAGATGGCAGAGGGAAAGCAGTGACTTGCTAGAGCTTTCCCCCAAACCCCTCCAAATACCTATAAAAAATGGCTCTAAACAAATTCTAAAGCAGCAGAATCCACAAAAAAACAGAGTAAAACAAATTTCCAGCCCAAGACAACCTGGATGGCTGATCAGAAAGGTATATCGCACCGGGCTGGGAGAGGAGCACAGTTCAGCGTGGGTGCGCAGGTCGCAGCAACCCTGGACCAGGCCTCAGAGGACTGAATCACAGGCAGCTGTGGCGGTTTCCAGACTCCTCAATCCAGGAACACCAAAGACAACTTAGAAGGTCAGTGGGAAAAGTCTGTGACTGCTGTGAGAGAAGAAGCTAAGGTCTCAGCCACAAGTCCAGAGTGTGCCCTCGGGGCAGTGGCTGCATCCTGAGCGGGAATCCAGTAGTTGATCTGAGTGGGATTGCAAGGATCACTTTGCCAGGGCTGAGGCAGGAATCTCTCGCTTTGCCGGTGCTTGGATTTGGATCATAGTTCTAAGGGGCGGTGCTGGGGCGAGGAGGAGAGCTGGCGTGGTAGAGCTTGTTGTGGCAGTGGAGAGGAAACACCTCAACCCTTATCATAGCACCTTGGAAGAACTGACACTTTTCAGGTCGCTAGAACGATCTCTGGAAACAGCTGTACAAACCCCGAAGCTTGGGACAGTACATTCTCCACGTTGGAAACAGACTCTTACCTTAACAGAGTTTAAAACTCAAGTAACTGGTTGGGATCATGAGCAAGCAGCGCAAATAGAGTCAGACTATATTATCTTACTTTGGTGACAAAGAAGATCAAAACATACAACCAGAAGAAGAAAACAAAGTCAAAGCTCCTACATCCAAAACTTCCAAGAAATATATGAATCAGTCCCAGGCCTTGGAAGAGCTCAAAAAATATGAATCAGTCCCAGGCCTTGGATTTTGAGAAGTAAGAGAAGCAGAGGAAAAACTGGGAAGAGAAATGAGAGTGATGCAAGAAAATCATGAAAAACAAGTTAACAGCTTGCTGAAGGAGACCCAAAAAAATACTGAAGAAAATAACACCTTATAAAATAGCCTAACCCAAATGGCAAAAGAGGTCCAAAAAGCCAATGAAGAGAAGAATGCCCTAAAAAGCAAAATTGGACAAATGGAAAAGTCCAAAAGATTACTGAAGAAAATACTTCCTTAAAAATTAGAATAGAGCAATTGGAAGCTACTGACTTTATGAGAAATCAAGACACTGTAAAACAAATCCAAAAGAAAGAAAAATTAGAAAATAATGTGAAATATCTCACTGGAAAAACAACTGACCTGGAAAACAGATCCAGAGAGAAGTTAAAAATTATTGGACTATCTGAAAGCCAGGATCAAAAAAAGAGCCTAGACATCATCTTTCAAGAAATGATCAAGGAAAACTGCCCTGATATTTTAGAACCAGAGGGCAAAATAGAAATTGAAAGAATCC